GTACTCTGTGAAATTTGAGCATTATACTGGAAAAGCCATTGCTTAATATTTCATACATATTTCCTTCTAAAAGAAATAAATTGGCCGAGTACTTCTTAATCTTAGCATTGTACCCATTATATACAGTTATGGGCATAAGTTGCGTGATCATCGTACGAAATGACTGTGGGAATTTTGTCTGCGTACCGAGCTTCTGACGGAAAGTCGTTCTAGCGTAAAAGAGGTAAAAAAGTAATTGAGATTCTTATAAGCTGAATTTTGACACGTGATATTAATTCTTTTAAAAATATAATTGATATAAATTATTTTGAATTGTTTTAGTTATTAATTTCAATGTTTGTAGTCAAAAGACAACTTTTGTCGTGTAATAATGTAAAAAATTTCTCAAAATTCAATATAATGTTTAACAGAGTGAAAAATTTCATAAATAATTTTTCTCTCAGCAATCAAATGCAACAGCGTTTTATTTGAAAACTGCAGTTAAATCTGATTGCTCTTAAATATTTTATGAATCGACAAAATTTATAATTCTGTAACATTTTGTATAGATTATAGGACACTTCCAAAGGAGAATGTTTATTACTAGTAATCCTTTAAAAAATTATAAAATTTTTGATAATTTAAAAAAAAATGAATATATAATATTATCTATTTAATCAATATTTGTTAATATTTAATTAAATGAGTGTCGCGTTTAATTTAAAAAATGAACCGATAGATTTGGAATTAAAAATGTGAAATTGAATATATAGTATTGGAACAAATCGAAAGATTTCTACATTTTTTACATAGAATTTAAATCTAATTGAAGCATATAAACGTCATCCTTCCTATAACACGTCCTGCAGTTTTAAACCTGTTTTAAACTTAACATCAGCCGATCGTATCTAAACATCAAAAGCCAGCGATTTAAAAATTTAAACACACATTGAACCCAGTGGTACTCTACGAATAATTACTTTCCATTCCAGCAATTGAAAAATACGAGGTCTCGTGGCAAACAGGAAAGCAAAAGCCAGCGGAAAAAGCAGCTAGATAAAACAGAATCAAATGCGATTTCCGCGTGAACAGCTGGTCTGACCGCCTATAATTACAGCCTATCATCCACCGATTCGCCCGTAATTTTCCGTTCTTTTCCGTTCGTGCGAAATGAACAAATTGTCGATTATATACGTGCCTGTTGACGCAGGTGCCGGAAAATTTACGCAAACTGAGCATCGTTGAAGAGAAGAGGTGGAATAATGGATCTAGATGTTTTGAAGGCCTCTACTCGCATAGCATAGCGCGAGAATTGAGATTTGGCTCTGTTAGCATTTGGCTATTGTCTTAATTTGTTCTATGATGAATTTTTCTCGACGCTTCTTTATAATTTAAAAGTCCGTTGTTGCGCGATAAAACTTGGTGAAAATTTTTTTCATGCGTAAATGAATAATATTCATGATCTAACAGCTATATTTCCATACAGTTTTATTATAAATTTAAATAAGACATTATTTGGAGTGAAATAATTTACACACTCTTGCATATATTCAACGATTCAGTCATTATATACAACAAAAAATCATTATAACAAAACATTTAAATACAAGGATGTATTTTATAATTTTTTCATATTTTACATTAATATTTTTGTTTAGCGTTAATTTAATAAATGTCTCTTTTATAATCATGTGAAAACATTATTGATTTTAAATAATATAATAGAATAAATAAAATGATTATAGAATAAAACTCAAGGAACTTATTTTTATGAAATTTACAACTGCTTATTGGTACTAATTTGAGCTACACATAAATATAATATTAAATTTGAATTCGTATATTTTTTAAATAAATATTTTGGATATTATTTTTTGGTTTGAAATTATTTTTTAAATTAAATATATGTATAAAACTATCTGCCATCAATATTCTTCATTTTAATATTAAAAATCTAATGCGTTAATTTATTGATTTTTTTTTACATTTTTTTTTATATAATTTGAATAGAATAGGATTTTTCTATATCCTTATTAACAGTATAAATAGATAAATTATAAACTAACATTATAAATATAATATAATTAACATTATAAATTGAATTCCCTCTAATATGCTGATGTATTATACATGCGGATACTACTTACAACCATTTTAAAACTATTTTTATACATCTATGCGTAACTGATATTTCGTAATTGACACATCGTGTATATATACAAGACAAGTATGTTATACAATATTTTATTATTTCAAAATACAATTATAATATTTTAACTATATATAATCTGTTAATAATTTTAATAATATGTTCTATAATAAAATATTTTTTCCAATCTCTAAAATTGTTCATCATTGCTTATAAATTCATTATTCGCTCATTGCCATTATTTACGAATAACTTATTTTATAAATATTATACAAAACACAATTAATTTTAAATGTTCTGCAATACTCAGTTATTGCTAGCAATGTATTCAGATTATGCTTTTATGCATAGTAATTTATACGTAATTACATATAAAAATATCATTGATGTAAATAAATATTGTATTTTCATGGTTTTGAAATGTATTTTCATGTAAGATATTTTTTTATGATAAAAATTTATAATTTTTTATTAAATGTACAACGTTATGTATTTATTTTTGTAATAATGAAAATAGTAGAATTTACATTTTCAGAAAAATATATATAATAAGCAGTAATAAGGCTTGTGTAAATTGAAATATTGTAATAAAAATATTTCGATTATAATAATAGGAAATTCTGAATAACACATGTCATCATACATTTATTTTATAATTTTAATTATTCATGTGAAATATGCACTATCACAAAAAAATTGTGCCTAAAGAACTTTTTTTAAAGTTGTATTATTCCATACGATTTTATGATATTTTTTTTATTAAACCGATCAGTTTAACAGCAGCATCCACTGTTGATCAGACGTCAATTAAAGTGAATGTATTTCGTTTTGTTACTGAGATTTCTGCACCACAGCACTTCACTAATGCACAGACGATGCACGCATGTGTTCCTTACATTGAAATTTCACTTTCGAACGTTTATTGCTTTTTGAGTAGATATGAATTTCAATATTAATAATCGGTTTAAAAAAGGTATATTGTTTGTTGAAACAAGGGTGAATTGTTTGTAACTTCGTTACTTAATATCTTATACGTAATTGAATTTATCTTCGTGGAAAATAAATTGTGGTAGCAGATTATCTTCGTAATAATTTCCAATTAGTACATATATCAGTATAATACATTAATCAAATTAATAAAATTAAAAGAATTATCTAGGGCATGAGACAATTTTAAATCACAGAATACGAATGGAGACTATAATATAATTACGAAATTATAATTACAAGTAAATGTATTTCATGGGCTTGTATAAATTTTTTATCTTAGAAAAAATTTAAACATTGTAATAAAATTTTTACAGTACATAAATACTATTAATATCCATTGAATTTATATAAACATTATTTATAGTATTAATTACATAGAACACGAAGCATACATTTACACACTAATATAAATAAATACACAATAAAAATAAAAATAAAATAAAAATAGATACACAATAATATAAATTTAAAAGTAATGGAAAAACATAATGCATAAAATATACAATTCAGGTATATGAGTGTTTGTGTGTATTCTCTATTTTATATATATTTTATATTTTAACAAATTTCTATTCATTTACATCTTTATTTATTATTTATTTTCAATTGAATATTGAATAATTATTACTAATACTATTGTAGATAATATTCATAGTTCTTTAAAAGAAGATTGTGACTCGAAAAGAGATAACTATTCAGTTTGTTTTACTTCATTTCGCATGGCGTTAAAATGTAAAGGACTGATTCACCTTTAGCTGGAGCAATGCCAAGATGCTTTTTCTCTTTCTCTGGCTGTCTCTCTCTCTCTCTCTCTCTCTCTCTCTCTCTAATTCTTTTACTTCTTTCTTTTACACATCTTCTGTTTTTTTCTTTTTTAACCAGCTGATCGGAAAGCAACTTCTCATTAATTTTATCCACGACCCAATAAAAAAAGTAATCACTATAAAATTTTTATATATATTATACTTTAGTATACATTTTTACTTTAAATTTTACATTAAATATTAATATATTTTAAAATACTAAATATTTTTAAAGTCATAATATAAGCATATAAAAGAAAATATAAATATATTGACTGCAGAACATGCATAAATTACAAAGAAAATTTTACAGTATTACGTAAAAAGTGAAATGTTACAATTACCAAGTTATCAATTATTGTTGTCATAAATAAAAATATTATTCAATTTTCGCTAGAAAGTTTAATATTATGTATGAATCGATTAACGAATATCTATTACAATAAAACTAGGCTACTTATTACATTAATTTCTAATAAAGAATGAATTCAATGATTTTCATGGCCCAATGCAGTAATACAATCATCATTTAAGAAACTGTACTGATTGATTTTTAGTGCTATAAATATTGCACAAATATAATTCATTTTTAGAAAATATTTTTTTATGCATTGATAAGAGAAATATTCGATAAATTCGAAATAATATTATAACGAATAGAATTTCTCCTATTAATAATTGACATTACAAGCATTTAACTATTCTTTTCTATTACTGCAAGTGATTTAATGTATTTATCATACTATTTAATTAAACGCCATCGCCTAAAATTATTTTCCGAATAGAAGGTATAATTATCACTATTTTATTTATTATTATATAGCGATAAATTTGGAACTCCATCGTTTAAAGTTGTAATGAAAATAATAATTGTCTTTAATTCCAACGTAATTTACTCACAGACAAGGAGGGAAAATGAAAGAATTACAAGTTCGTAAGGATAAGCATGGAAAAGTTAGCAGACAGGCACAACATAAATCTCTCTCTTTCTCTCTCCCCCCTCTGGCAACTTAGCCGTGGCCTCGTACGTATGTGAGAGGCGCTACGATTCAAAATCTTGGCATAACACTGTATGTATTCACAGTTCTAGTTCAATCGTGAGCTGGTGATCGTGCTTGTGCCTATTATTGCAGTTTTTGTTCTAAGTGTAGGAGGAAGTACGTTTTTAGTAAAGATATTCTGAAATTGTCTTTGTTGAAGTTTAGAGTTAAGAATCGCGTTCTGATGTATTCAACAAAATTAAATATTAAATTCTAATTTATATTTATAATTATTAAATACGTTACATTGCGCTTTCATGCGATAGTAATATTTATAAAAAATAATAGAGCATCTTAATTATTCTACTTTTAAAGAATAATCTTGTGTTATAATGTAAATGTATCTCTATATATAGTCTTTATAAGTATACTTTATTCACTGGATGCATTTTAGTTTTATAAAAAATTATAATTTTCATTTAAGTTTCATGTTTATAATTAGACCACAAAAATATTAATATATTACTATTTAAAATATTCGAATATACGTATTAAAGTAATTAGACAAATTTAAATATATTTTTATACATTTCTCGGTAACGATTTTATAATCAGAATTTAATTTCCCTTTAAAATTTCTCAATTCGAGTTTCTCTATACTCCTATAATAGAGTGTTATTGAGTTAAATAAAGCTTTTACATTTTGTATTTGTTTAGCCGAGAGATATAACCTAATGTAATAAAAAATTTATGGATAAAAGTTAATAGAAGCAAAAAGTAGAGATTATATTTTTAACAATTTTAATGTCACAACACAAATTAAATTAATAACATAATATTTAAAAATAATTAAACTTTTTTATATTTGCCCTAAATAAAACATTAGTTATATTATAAATTTAAGAAATAATGTTGCTATATAAAATATATTATTTGATATAACAAGAAAACATTTACAGTTAAGTTTTTTTTCAATAGAATATATTATTTCTATATATTTTAATATTATTAATATTGTAAGATTAGTAACAGAATTTTATTTTAAAGACTAAAACATGTATTCAAGTAAATTTAATATTACTCCTTTATCCTACATATATATAACTTTTAATCTATCTATAATAATAAATACCAAAATAATAGTGTCAAATAATTTATGAAATAAATTTTTATTATATAAAGCAAATTTTAAAGTATAAATAAATTTTATGAAGAATTTGTATTCGCTAATTTTTTTATTAAATTTCTTGAGTTTGAAATTATAATTTTTATATAAAATTATCATGTAATCCAATTTATTTATAATTTATCATCATATTTAATTAAAATTAAATTATGTTAAAATTCTAATTATTATAATTCTCACAGAGATTTTAGTTGTTATGCTAAATCTACACTATCGCAACAGATTATTTTTAATTAAGTCAAATTTATTTATTATTAGTAATTGAAAAGCTAAATTCTATAATAATGCTAACTAAATACTTGAAATAAGAAATATTACAACTGTATTAATTTTAATACTAATAATATACAAAAATTTTAATTGAAATATTGAATTTTATTTTAATATGTAGTAATCAACGTAATAATAAAAATCATATATTTCTTCATCAAATTCGTATTTAATTAATTTTTACTAAATTTAAAAGCAGCTTCAAGAAGATAATCAATATTATATATTATTCATAATAAACTATACCATCATACATTTTTGAAATGCAGTATTTTTTATAAATAAGATTCATCTTATGTTTTAGTTCAATTTGATGAAAGTATTAGAATTATTCATTTTTTATTTTTTATTGGAAATTGGATTTAACTTTAAGTAAATTTGGAGTCATGGTATTAATTCTATAACTTTCAAGAACATTTCTTTACATTTTTCTAACAAATAAAAATATTTTAATTTATTTGGAGAGAAAGTGTTTAACGTATACGTATAAAATTAAAGGTTTCTTCTAAGTTAAAATTACATTTTTCAATTATATTAATAATTTTAATGTTTATGTTGAATTATTATTGAATTTATATTGAAAACTTAATCTCTATACTTATATTAACCATATTTAACTAAAAAATTATGATACTTATTGGTAATATAATAGTTTGCATACTGTATATAAAATTGCTTTTAATGAAAAATTTTAAAAGACTAATTATTTTATCAAAGCGGTGTCCAAACTAATTTCAAATTAAATTCAAGGGAACACAAATGCTAAAATGAAAGTGAGTTGCAAATTTAATTACACTGATATGTAAAACCTGCATGATAGATATCAAGGATAGCTTAAGTCATAGCGACATACAAGAAAAAGTCTCAATCGGACATGACGCCGCTTATTCTCTTGTCGTTCTTGGCAACGACCTTGGCTCTAGGAAGGATTCAGTTTCCCCACAGTAGCTATGGCGTGTATCAAGCCTCACCTAAGAGTGATGTCGAGGTTGCCTTTCAATGGTACTTCCTCGACTGGATCCATCCGAGCATCCAACTCGCCGGCAAGAACTTCACCATTGGCAATCCGCTCACCCAGGACGTGGATATCGATAGACGCGGTCGCGTTTTCGTCACCACCCCCCAATGGCTAAAGGGTACTCCTATTACACTATCCATTGTAACGAACCTGCAAGGTCCGGGTGGACCGTTACTATCACCCTATCCTGACTGGAGTTGGCACAAATCCGATTGTGACAGCCTTGTTTCCGTTTACAGGATAGCGGTAAATATTAATGTCTAAAAAATTTTCATAATTCTGGAGTACTAGTGATAAAAGATTTCGAGGTTTACTACCATAAAGCTATTTTAGTGTGTCAATAATTAGCATAAAATTGTTTTTACAATAAAATGCTTGTACTTGTGCTTTTAACGATGGACTATAACGAGAAACTTATACTGAATTATCGAATAGAAGAAAAGAAAAGTCCTTGAAAAAAAATGCATTATGCATCGAGGATATTGTATTAGTTAGTTAATAATAGGCTAATAATTTTTACTGGTTAAGAGTTAACACTGTCATTTCTTAAATTTACTTATACTTGAAATTTTATTTTTTTTAACATATTACTACAAATAATATTCTTTCTACTCCTTCAATTTCCAAAATATATAGAAACTAAAGTTTCTTCTAGTGTTTACGAAAAAAGTAAAAAAGTTGTTTCACTTTATAATCACTTATATGTGTTTTCAACTTATAAGATAAATGAATATAGGTTACTGTCAGGAATGTATATTTTTATTCGCAATTTGCGGCCGCATTAAGCGACTACTTTACAACATTGCGTCATAAGCGACTAAATAGAAAGCCAGTATTTAAATTTCAGAAAATATTAATTTGAAATATAGTATGAAACTGTTGCATGCTCCAATTCATAAAATCAGTTTATTTGATAAAGCACTCGTATTACTTTTCAAATTGAATAATACAATTACTTACACAAGAATGACGCTAATTTAAAATAGAATTTATATAACCATGTATTACTTGAAAAGTTTTATAGAAAAAACCAGTGGATATTAAATATAATTTTCGAAAACATTTATATCTACAATTATGGAACTTAATAAAAATTAATAATATTATTATAATTATAAATTTTCAATTTTCCAAGTTAAATGTAATAAACAATATTGTATAAATTCATAAATTTTTTTCATTTCTATAATTTAATTTTTGGTCTCCTATCATTTATTTCTAATAAAATAACTTATAAATATTTCATTCTATTAATCCTCATTAACAGCTATTAAATACTTTCTTAATTAATGATATTCTTCTTAGTTAATGATATTTATAGATTTTTATAATTAATCATCTACATTTCCCATGAGATAAAGATATTTAGAAATTTATAATTAAAAACATTCAGTATATATATATATATATATATATATATATATATATTTTTTTTTTGTAGTTAACTGAAATTTGAAGAGTATTAATGTAGGTATATTAATATATGTCAATATATAATAATAGGTATGTCAATATATTAATGTAGGTTAGTTTATTTGTCGTGTAAGATGTAAAACATATGTAGATATCTTGAACATCATCATTAAAGGTTTACTTACAAAATACATTTTTAACAAATTAACAAACAATTAACAAATTTAATGTCTCGTTACTGGTCTACCTGTGCAAAAATCACAACATATTCTTAAGCAAACGATCGAGCCAAGAAATATTGTAGATAGATGAGTGCGACCGGATGTGGATGGTGGACACAGGAACGGTGAGTGGCCAGTCTGTCTGCCCATCGAAAATCGTCGTGTTCGACCTTGGTAAGGACAAACTTCTGTTTAAATATGTGATTCCTCTGGATCAGACGGCCGGTCGCCGTGCATCGTATGTATGTCCGATCGTTGAGGTCGGCGACACTTGTGACGATGCCTTTCTCTACGTGGCCGATGTATTGGCCCACGGGCTGCTGATCTATAACCTACGCACGAATAGATCCTGGAGGCTCGATAATACACCCAGCAATGCCTTTGGTAATGACATCGAGGCTACAAACTTGACGATAGTTGGAGAAAACATTGATCTGACCGATGGTATCCTCGGCATGTCCCTTTCGCCACGTGGCTTCTTTGCTAACAGGTACGACTCGTGTGGAATTGTGGAATTTTTATTGAAATTTAATTAATTCGCAAATCGAATCACTTTTATTCGATAATTTTCAGTAAACCCATTTCTATTTACTTAAACTTATCTCCAAAGCTACATGACTCAGCATTTGATAGATTACGAAAATACATGTTACTTTCAGCATTTTGTGTGTATATATATATATATATATATATATATATTCATCTTAACTAATAGAAATTACACATCATTAGATAATGTTGACGTTGTATTCGACATAATGACTTTGATATTATATGAGAATATATACTCATACACTTTTCTTGTATTTTTTTTGTAGTTGATATATTTGTGTATTCGTCTCTTGCATTAAAAATTGCATTTTATCTTGCTAATTTACCTTTCACTAATTTTTTTATTTTCAAGCAAATTAATCATACCATACTTATAATGTCAATGCAGTATTTGGGATTAATTATATTAAAATATTATAACTTGAATCTCTTTATTTTGATAAAATCTTTATGAATAATAATTTTACATACTTTGCCTTTCGAATTGTGAATATCAAGTTCTAAAAATAATAAAGATTTTCATTACATTTTTATTCTCATGCTTGTATTGTGCTCTTCTATAGTGAAAAAATTATTTCTACTTAAATATTTATAAATTGAACTGTTATAGAATTACCAACTCTTAAAATATAAATACAAATATAAATTATTTTAGTAAATCATTTAATTGTCGTTTAATAATGAATCGTATGTAATTTTATATTCAGAGCACCAACATTTTATTCTATACATGTTTAATACTGTTTAGACTTTCTTAAACAACTATTTGTTTTAATTTTATCCTTAAATCGGAATAAGCAGAAATTATTTATAGAATTAGTATGTGATATTAAAAATTAAAGTGTTTGTGTCAGTGAAAATTATTTATATCGCAGAATGAAATACTAAAAGATAGAACATTAATTTGTAATAAATAAAATCTCTTTCTATATGACTATATAAAGTTTACATTGATTATTTTATGCACTCATAAACTATTTTAATAATATAGATATAATATATATTTCCAATTCACGTTTTCCAATTAGGGAATTAAAATAATTCAATCTACAAGATAAGCTATTTTAGTATGTATTTTTGTAAAAATACAGATTGCAGTTCCTATGAATAAAGCAGTTAAAATCATTCGTCAAATAATATTATAGTACTAATAATAGTTCTTTATACTAAACGATTAAAATATGAATAAAAATCGTTGCTCAATTAATTTCAATATTAGCTGACGAACTAACTCTACTTTGACGGATAAGTATACAAGCCACCGTTGCTGGGAAAGTGTCAGCAATTGAGCAATTCGTTCTACATAGGCTACAAGGTCCGTCTGCCAAAACTAATAACAAATTTACGGTCACGCGCATCTGCCAAGTTAAACCATAATAGGAAGTTCCGGAGCAAAAGTCCGATACGTGTCTACGGAGGATCGCAAGCGCATAGCTGCCGGAGCTGGCTTTCATGGCTGCAGGCGCACAACATAATTTCGAAACTCGAGCGAATGCATGCCGACGGTTTTTGTGGTGCTGTCCGTGATCGAGTGCCGCGCTGACGCTGTCGCGAGACGTTCCTATCGGAGACGGGGAAACGCGTGCCTTAGCTGCTCAATTCTTGTGAATTCCTCAAAGCCCCCATGAATGCACAACGGGCGCCCGTCTAATTGTGTTTTACATATTTACGCAAGAATTCATAATTGTTTCTGTCGCGGTTTAATGCTGCTCAGACCTCGGGACATGAAATTGTTAAACTTCGTCAAAGTTAGTCTATACGCAAGCATTTTATTAAATAAACTATGACACCGTTAAACCGGTAATTCTACTTTACGGCTTTACACAATTAAACTTTACAAATCGAGATGTAAATTGCTTATTGACAATCATAATAAGTATGAACTTTGATTGTTCAAGGATAGAATAAGTAAACAGTAATGAGATCACGATAGATGAAGGAAAATTCATGTATAAACTTTCAGGTAGAATCCCGAAAATAATTTAATATAATTACAAACAAAAGAATTATTTTACATAATTTAGAAAATATAAATTAATAAATATAATAAAAACAATTGGCAAGATTCATGTTTATCATTATAAGAAATATTGTTTAATATTTTTAAACCCACTTTAGAATTATTATAAGATCATTATATGCTAAGAAATATTTATTCTTAAAAATATTACTCTTTCTTCTAAACTTAAATGATATTCTACGAGGTTAAATATGTATAGAAAATGCATTTCAATTTTTTATTTTATCAGTATTTGGTATAAATTATTGTAAGAAATAATATTGTTTTAGCTAATATTTTGAATAGAAAAAACGATACACGTAAAAGAAAATTATTTTTAGCCTAATTTTTTATTTTTTTTTTTTTTTGAAGAAACTATCTTAGAATACAATTAAGAATAAATTGTAATGAAATTTCATAATTTTCAAGGGATTTGCTATACTTAAATATATAAAGCACTGTAAGAAATTTCATTAAGCCTACCAATTTATTTATAAATTTAGTTTCTAATTTATATAAGCGATTTATACATAAATTACATTAACATTTACTAATAAGCGAATCATGTATTTTACAATAGTGTACTAATTTTCACTACATTAAATACTTTGGTCATTTTTATGCTATCAGAAAATAGACAAGATTAATCATTAGTTAATAAATTTTTGTCTGTTTTATAATAATTAAACTTTGATATAATTATTGTATTTATTATAAAACATTATTATGATTTGAAAAGAAATTTTAATTGATATTTATAAGTATTTATAAACAGATGATAGAATAAAGTATGCAAGTAGATGGAAATACAAATAATAATCGATTAAACGTACTTTATTTTGGCTTAGCACTGAAATTTTAATAAGGGTCATACATCAAGCTGCAAAATAAATCTCGAATAAATAGCAGTTTGAGTGAGAGATAGTGAGAGGGGGGGGGGAGACAGATATGAAAGCCCTAGATTGTAAGTAATGTTGCAGATATCTCTACTTCAACGCCCTGGCGAGCTTCTTCGAAAAGTTCGTAGACGCAAACTCGTTAAAACGCAGCTTCATATACGAGCCGATCATTTACCAGTCGACGAGGAGGCGAGTGAGCCACGCCGGTGCCCAGGCGACCTCCAAAACTGGCGCCATATTCTTCCAGCTGGGGGAGTTCACGGCGCTCGCTTGTTGGAACATCGAGAGATCTTTTTCACCTGAAAATATCGTGGAGCTTGTTCAGGACGAGGAGACGCTTCAGTATATCAGTGGCATCAAGGTTATCGTGAACGCTCTCGGCGAAGAGGAGCTTTGGTTCAACACAAATCGGCTGCAAAAGACAGTTAATAAGTCTAGAAGAATCAACGAGGTTAATTTTAGGTTGATACGCGCGAAAGTCGACAATCTCATTAGAGGTACGAAATGCGAAGCCACTGGGTACAGAGAAACCCAGCCGAATCTTTTAGGCTGGAAGCGAATTTGATTAAAGATGTAGGCACTTTATATTGCGAGTCTTGTAATTATTGAAATAATTATTATTTTCATGTCAAATTAATATTATCGCTGATCACTTTTCAGTCGAAGCTAATTATTTATGATCATCGAAATAGTAAGTAATATATAATTTGCTAAGCCAGATAAGATATGTTATTATCATAGAAATATTCTGAACAATGTTTGTTCACGTTGTATTTTTTGATAATTAGATTTCTGTTATGTGTAAAAAGATTTAGAAGAAATGTAAAACATATTATTGACTGTAATTTATTGAATGTAAAACATATAATTAGACTTTTTTTATGTGTAAAAAGGTTTAGAAGAAATGTAAAACATATTCCTTTTTGTATTTTTTTATTATATAAATGTGGTATGCTAGTAAAACTATATAATATGCCGAGTAATTAATGCGTTATTAATATAACATCAATTAAATTATAATTCGAAATGAAGTAATTAAAATTCTTTTTAAAATTAAAATATACATAAATATTATAAATTTTTCTATGTTAAAAATATTTGTATTTTTATAAATGTCAATAATAGATCATAAAAAATAATTTATAAATTTAAAGCTAATCTTCGAATATACGAAAATGTACCCGCGATGTTATCATTAAAGTATCTTTAATTTTTCATAAGAACAATAATTTTAATAAATTCTAAATAAAAATCATTGCTATATCTACACATTTCATCTTTTATATAACCAATATTTATAATATAATTTATGATCCAATATTTTAATATTATCATAAATTCAAATTTAAGAAATATAAAATAATTTTTAACTATACAATTATATTTAAATAAATTTCACTTGAATATCTCTTTTTATGCAATAATTTTCAAACTATACTTTTATGAATTAATATTGCTGATATTTGTATTCAATGTAATCAGTAGTATGAAATAAAACTATTTATTACGCTGTTATAGAATGTAAAATAAAAATCGCTTACTCACGATATTCAATAAATTGATTTACTTTAATATTGATACTTACCATATTTATATTTGTCAATGATGCAATGAATATATAATCTGTTTAATAATTCGCAGTTTATTCAAAAAAGTATAATTTACGATAACGAGAGTTATGGGCTGAAGGCATAGCAAGACAATTCGTAAAGCACGAAACATGAAATGTCCAATTCCCAATTTCAAAAACTTTCGTCTAGTGAAATGAGGTCTCTCTCTCTCTCTCTCTCTCTCTCTCTCTCTTTCTCTGTACACAAACACTCGAAAATTGCGCGAAAAGTCGAGAATGGATGTCTGGGCTTGACGGGTGGTGTGTACCCAATTTAGCTAACCGTTTCATTGCCTCCTTTCGAGATGTAACGATGAGGACTTTAGTTCTGCTAGTGACAGAGGCGAAGCGCCGGCAAACGGATATGTTCCATATGGGTCGAACATAGCTCGGGTTCACGAGTCTCTCGTCACTGCAGTGCTGACTGAGGTCCATTCGACTGCCCTTTTTCCATTGAAAAAGAATCGCCCGATTGTTTTAGAGTTAGTTTTGATTTCCAATGGGTGCAATGGATATATTTCCCGAATGCACAGGGTCGAAATTATTCAATCGAATTATTTGTCGTATGTCGTATAGATACTACTTATCGGATAAATCATATCTAGGTTGCACTTTATAGTATAAGCTTTTTAATATGTAAAATTTATTGCATTAGAGTAATCAATATTTATGCCCCAATAATTATTTTTTATTTTTGATACTCTTAGAAAAGTGTAATTAAAATTATTACGAGGCTAAAAGATCATTTCAGTTTTTAATAATTTTCACTTATATATGGGGTATTAAAAAAACTTCATTATTTTTCTACTTATTACTTTATTGAAGTTGTAAATACATGTACATAATACTAAAATCAATTAATAACTGCAGAATATATCTGTAAATGCTATTGGGATTAAATAATTTAGCAAATTTAAAGAACCTTAACATTTATAATTAATGAATCGTTTAAATGAATAATGATTAATGTGCTGAAATTTTATTTCAATGGGATGAAAACGATTATGCATATTTACATATGAATAGCGTTATAAGTAAGTAATGTTACATTATTGTTGGGAAATATTTAAAATTAAATCTGGCCGCTATCAGAGAAATTATTAATATTGAATTAATATATCTCGGTTAATACATAATTAACTAATATAACTTCAAGCAAATAATTAAACTTAATTAAACTTCCCATTAACTTAATTAACTTAATTAAACCCATATGCATTATGAGAACAGATTATTTTTAGTCTTTGAACAAACAGACATTCATATCATGTATTATATACTCTACACTGTTAAAAGCACAAACTATTCATAGATATTTTTATATTAAATCATAAATAATATTGTTTATACAAGAATACAATTGTCAAAATATATTTTTTATATTTTCTAGTTAATAAACTCAAATTACAGACGTAAAAAAATAAATGCATTGACGTCGAAATTTACAAAAAATTATCCATAATTTTTCATTGTAAATGTATTGGAAGTATTTGTTACGTAAACTTTCTCTATTATCCAATATTTCAAATTAAACGATTATAATATGAATGAATATTTTCATTTTTGGATTTAATGGAAATACTTAAACTTCGTGATGAAACGTGATTAAATTTTTTATGCAAATTATAGGTATCATATAAATTGTACATAAGTTAGATAAGGTATTTATTTATTTCACTTTACAATACTCACTGCGTTAATTAATAATAAATTAATTTTTTTTATTTCGAGTTCTACAATATTATTAAAAAATTATTAATTGAAAATACATACATTTTATTGAATAAAAAAATTACATTTTTAACGAATATTCGAATTAAATGTTTTCGATAATTAAATTAATTAGTGTAAAGTACAAATAATATATTACATTATATATTAATAAATATCAAATATCAATTAAGAAATTTGAGAGGAAATCCGAAATTAACAATTGCACCACATATGCAGGCAAAGTAAAATAATCAATTTAAAAACGTTGAGACCACAATGCATTTTCGTTTAAATGAAAAAATAGAAAAAGCAACTGTTCATTCGCGAGTACGTGTAGTGAAATGCCAAATCAGGTAATTCAGTTCTCCCTATTCCCTAAAATTCATTGGATTCGTAAGAAAATTTCCGGCACAGCCCCTGAGTCCCTCACTCGTTATCGGATTCACGAGAAGTGATCCCCAAAGAAACAACACGCCGGAAATGGAGTTTCGTTGCAGTCGGCGGCTATCTCCGTTGCCCTCTTATCTTTCTCGTCAAACCGACGAGCCGAGAAAAGATCTTAAATCGTTTTAGGAGGGGTAGTTTTCAAATAATTTCACGAAAAAAAGTCGAAATAAATTTGCATTACAACCGACGATATATCCAACTTCCAATGCTTGGCACTGATACAGGAATATGCCGGTAGTATTTGAATATAAATATAACTAAATTCCTACTACCTCTTTACATACTCTACTTTAAACAATCGAGAAAATTTTATTGCATGTGACTCGAAAAACTGTGTTGATACTATGAAACTAATTTGATCGCCCATCTTATAAAATTTTAATAGATATAACATATATTCATTACATTTCATGACCATAAATAAATATTTTCATTTTATTGATTTTTGGCCTATAATATACACTGTAGTGTATTTAACATATTTATAATAAATTGAAATTTCTTATATAAATAATGTTTTTAATTTAATAATGCTAGTAAAAGCATTTTAAATGTTATTTAAAAATAACTTATAATATATTCAAATATAAGATAGTTATTTTACAACAGTTATTAGAGTTTATTAATTACGGAAATTTTATTAACTATCATTTATAAAAAATAAACAAAAAATATATTTATTATATCAGTTACAAATGAACTCATTTGCAGATTGTCAATATTTCAATATTTTAATGATATTAATATTTCTCTAAGGAATTTATCGAAATTATTTTAATTAATTGTAAACGGTCTTGTCGAATTTTATCTATACAGTAGATTCATTGAGTAAATTAAAGCTTTTAAAATTCAGCGTTTAAAAGGATTTATTTGTAAATTGATACACAAGATAATTCGATTATAGCAGTATAAAAGTAAATCGTAATTATTTTTGCAAAACAATGAATAATAATATTTATCGACATAAATATTTTTTTGATATTGACTATAATGCAGTTCCTTTTTATTTTAAACTAAATAAAAGTGAGTACTTTAATTTGAAATATCCTAAAGTATTTCAAGCAGAAGTGGAATGTTTATTTTAATTAAGTGATGCTTAATTATATAATTGTTTCGTGAATTTCATGTATTCAATTTATGTATTATGTATTTTTAAAAATTTAATCTCACTTTGAATTGATAATGTAGATTTCAAATATTTCTTTATACAAATTTTCATATTATAAAATAGCCAATTAGATAATAATGTCTATGAGAGGTTTTCGCGATACACTTATTAATAGAATACGAAACTGAACTATTAACTTCGTAAGACACCACTATTCTTGGAAATTAAATCAAGACTTACTTTAGTTAAAAAGTGTAATCAAGCAAATTAATCCTTCGGGTACAAGTTCATTACATCCGTACTATTTCGTCTTAAAATAAGGATGCATATAGTCCTTCCCGGGTTCTTTTATTTATTACCTCGCTCAACTCGCGATGAAACTCGTCCTTAGTTAAACGACTCCAGAGAGCTTTTTATGGCTTAGTTTTCGCGAGTTCTGTCCGAATTCATATCCGCTTACTACTGTTCTATCTTTAGTCTATCAAGAGCATCGTGCATTAAAAGTCTGTAACCACAGTCTGATCTGAAAAGCTCGAAAAATCTCTTCTTTGCGTTTTTGAAAGATGCTGTAGTGCAATCAAGATGAAATTTCGTAATGAAATTTTTGTAGTGTCGAGTATTGAGAACAATAAAAAATCAAATGTTGTTATAACGAGGCTTTAGAATAAATATTTTCATATCAATATTTATATATGTATATGAAATA